GTATAGTCTGAGGTCTGGTAGCGTGATTCCTCCTGCTTTGTTTTTATTCCTGAGTAATGTCTTGGCTATTCGAGGTTTTTTCTGATTCCATATAAAACGAAGTATTATTTACTCAAGATCTTTAAAGTATGACAGTGGGGCTTTAATGGTAATTGCATTAAAATTTATCCCCAATTTCTGTAGACCAGAGTTGGTTATTATTTGTTGATAATAAAGTTTTAGAGAAGACTGAATACAAAGACTTATTTCACAAATGATTTTTGAAACCCAGTTACATCTTTTGTAAAAATGTGGCTTTCAGGAAATTTCAGAAGGCAGAAACTTAATGACATAATTTACACAACTGCAGGTTATGCGATGATGGCTTGAGTGCTGTGGTTTGAGATCCACAGGAAACATAAAAAAGTAAATGCTGTTGGGGATTTTGTTACTTTTCACCGTTAGACACTTAACAATTTGGTTAATACAGCATGAGACATTATAATTAAGAGTTTGTAAGGTATCAGAGAATATTTATACTCTAATTGTGAAGGACCTGAAAATTAAAATTTAGATCTTTCTGAAGCTGTAAGTCAGAGTGTACTTACAGAAAGTATGCCAGTGTTTTCTTTATGTCGCATATGGAGTCAGTTGGTGCTTCTAATTTTATTTTTGAAAGAATGTGCTTTTGGGCCATGGCAACTTGCTATGTTCCAGTGACTACAGGTTGAATTCTGTGATGAATTATGAACAATCTCAAATTCAACAATCTCACTCTTGCTCAGGTTGGTTGAACACCTGAGCTTAGGCAATTCACCCACCTCTGCCTCCTAGAGTGCTGGGATTATATAGGCGTGAGCCACCTTACCTGGCCTACATCTATTAATTCGAAACATCAGTTATTACAAGATGTTTTATCTTTACAAATACTTTTTGCCTTTAAGTCTAGCATATTAGTGTGCACATAGCAACTTTTCTTTGGTTAGTGTTGGGACAGTGATTTTTTCCCCCCATCCTTTTATTTTCTATGCTGTTTTTTGTCCTGTGTTTTCAGATTTGTCTTTGAACAGCATGTTGTTTTTATCTGATATAATAATTGCTTTTGACATTTAATTTACCTTCGTATTACTTAGGTCTCTTTATTTTCTATCCTTGTGTCTTCATTATCAAGTATTTTAATTCCACTGTTTTAAGTCCAACAAATCACTATAATTACTGTATGAAATGTCAATATTTAGATTTATCCAAATATTCTTTTTGCATTATTATGCTTCTGAGAATTTTTCTTAAATAATTTCCTTTGAGTGAATGTCTGCTAGCGAAACGTTTTGTTTTGACTTTTTTATACTTCATTATCTTAAAGGCTATCTTGGCAGTTTCTTTCTCTTAAAAGTTATTCTTTCTCTTGTACTGTGGGTTCCTTAATATCTGGTAAAGTCATCAGAGAACTCTCTTGTTCCTTTGACCTTTGGAAGGAAATTTGTTTTTCTTGGGAGGCAAATGTCTCAAGTTCAGGTTAGTTTGATATGGTCTAGTCTGGCGATTAGACTTTGGGGCTATCCTGTTACTGATTTACCCTTTGACTTGGGGGAATAGACTTGACACACAGTGCAC